CTTACAGGATTATACCTCTGCCATCACAACATTTTCGTCAAGATTTTTGACGATATGATTTTTTTCTCAATTTTTATATTTATTTTAAAAAGTAAACACGGGTTTGCTAATGTTTCAAGACCGATAGGTGTTAGATGTGTACTAAAATAAAAATAATTTTGGAAACATAAATATTATGAAAATAATTTTTAACAATTTGATACCGCACCGTTTATTTCCAAAACAATGACCCCTCTCGAAAGAGAAATCATTCAAGTAATTATTAATTTCGACCCTGCGCTTTACAAAAATCTTTTTTTTTTTCAATCATATCGACACATTTGAGACCAGAGTTCAAGTTTTAATGTCGCTGTTTATTACAGATAAAACATTTTTTCAACGATTTCATTGGCGTATACGCCATTTTTCCACAATCATGTGATAAGACCATCATCACGTGATTTGTGTGAAGGCAGTCTGCACTGCACTATATAGACGTTTGTAATATGGATGTGGAGTTGTCTCCCTTATAAGTTAAACCCGCAATACTTGAAGAGTGAAACCTTCATCATTACAAACACTTCTGTGTATAAGAAGGTATTTTCGTTATAAATATATGTACCTTAAAACTTATTACTAACATGGACAGGTCTTATAATTGCTTATACATGTATATGTGTATAGGAAAAAGTCAATTTTGACGTTCTGTAGTATTTTTTGTTCATGGTAGAGGGGAGATATTGCTCATACACAAAATAGCACAATATCTCAACGAAAAGTGCAATCAGTTAGACTAACATGCATATCACTGAACATTTCAGAAATTTACCCGCACCATAACTGTGGGATGTTAAATAATTCTACCATTTCTGGGTTCTATACCAATACATCAAGTTACCGTCAACAGGTTGTCCTTATTGCTTAAACATAGGCCTTATACAAACAATTTCAACATTGTCATGAGCTCTCCCCTTTAAAAGCTTAAAGTTATTGTCGATTGAATTCGAATGAAGTTTAATAATAAGTTATATATATAACCTGAAATGTATTAAAGTGATAGCAGAATTGTCCAACACAATTGCAGATTCAAACGGTTTTAATCACTTTGAGACGGAAACGGTCATTTGCCTACTCGGTCTTACCCCTAGACATCTGCTCCCTATTTGGCAAGGACATTTGCCATCCTAGAGCAGAATTAGTCCTCTAAAACTTTAGATAAGCGTGCATTTCCCCCATGTGTTAAAATTTGCCGTATAAATATAGAATGAAATTCAAGCAAAGCCAAGCTCGGCGTTGTAACTTCTTTATTTTCCTTATTCATCTGTTATATAAATAGTATTTAAATAGTATTTTACAATTTAAATTCATATATTATAAATAATTAGGAATACTGCGTAAAATATGTTTCGATCATAGAACTGCTAAATAATTATACTTTTCTGTTTTTCCGACAAAGTGTTCTGTGCCAGTGGTTGCCCGCCTGCGTTCCATTGTTCAACAATAATTGGATCCCAACCTGTTTCAGCCTAGGGATATAAGAATCTTACGCTGGCTGCCGGTACATACCGGTATATCTAGCTCAGGGTAATTGTTTACGGCGGTAACGAGGCTCTGCCGAGTTTCCGCTTAACAGTTACACGAGAGCTAGATATTCCCGTCTGTAACGACAGCCAGTGTTTGATTCTTTCAATAGCATATTACATATCAATTATTTTCAGAACAGAAATTATGAAAACTGATATTCTCATTACGTACTTTTTTCGTACTTTTTCGTATAGTGCAAGACAGGTTTTTCTAGCACCGGTGTAAATGGTAGAAAATCCTGTTTGCTATGCATTGAAGAAATACGCCATAGCTCTGTTATGAATAAATACTATCAATACAACTTTAAGATTTGGCACCCAAAAAAGAAGAGCTCTCCATATGTTATAACAGGTACATCACATGTATAATACAGTTTCGTATAAACATTAAAATGCAAACCCCCTGATTTTTTAAATTTTGCAATAAGGAGAACAAGAGCGCAAAGTTCTAGCATTGTGGGCTTCATGTTTAGCCGTAATATTGTAGGCTTAAACATATCTATTACATATAGATACATATATCAAATAGCCAAAACTTAATAAAAGACAGTTTCAAACCCACCCAAATGTGTCTAAGATGCGATACGTAGAATGCATTTGTAGTGCATAGCCTTTTGATACCATCTCTCGAACGGTACCATCCCTCGACCAAAGTGATAAATTTTATATTTAACAAATCAAATTTATGTTGTGCAGCAAGAGATCGTTTAATAAAGTGACAAGCACTTACATTTGCTTTATTTTGGCAAAGTTCCATAATTACAGCTTCATATTGACCATTCTAATAGTAGTTGAGAGTTCGATTTTAGGATAATGGCAGCCTACTTTCATTTTTGAAATCTTGTACTTTTGTAGTAAAGTTACCACTTTACTAATGTAGATTTATGGAATAAGTGAGAACAATAAGAATACTTTATGAACCCTTCTTTCAAGAAAATATGAGCGTAATTTTACTGTAATTTTGATTTGTTTTATGAACTGTCAACGTTGACCTAGTTTCTTGATTTATTATTTTGTTCAATCAAATATTTAATCGAACAAGATAAATAAAGTTGAACACCACTAAATATATTTTTTCTACTGTTTTCAATATGCACTTGATACCATTATCAATGTTGAAAAGAAATAATAAACTTTTGGTTGATGTAAATAAAGCTGCCTCTGATTTGAGAAGCTGTTGTATTTAAAAAGTCAGATGAATTCTCCTGGAATGTGACAAGACATGAAAATAAATGAAAATGTGTTTTTTTTTGTTCTATGTTACAGTAGAAAATTTAATTAATGCTTATAGTTTCAATATAAATGGTCTCCTCTTTCTACAAGTTATTCGTACACTATAAATAACTTGGTTCGATAATTGGTAGCAAGGGGTCAACTCTGTTCTACTAATCAAGCACCCCAATGAGTTCACGGCAGCCATTTTTAAAGGTCATGTTGACAAATTTAAAGTAGGTCAAAACGGACACAATACATGCCTCTACAATCAAGAACTTTACTAAGTTTAAAGACACTTCACATCCTTAAAATAATTAAAGTTAAGTGAAATTACTGTTCGAGAGATGGTACAACGAGGCTATACATCCCAATAGATGAAACTTAAAAGAAACAAAAAGAATAGCATACGACTCTAAGGGACTAGGAAATATGCGGCATGTTCGGCTACAAGCCGAACGTACCACTGTTTTCAGAGCCGATGTGACTTTCAATTTACATCACGTACAGGTCTACCTTCATGTACAGTATAGTTTTTTAATGAAAAGTAATAGCTCTCATTTAAATGGATGATGATTAAAGATTTGTTTATTTAAAAACTGTTATTGAAATTATAAATTTAAGCATCTCACAACAAATAACAACTTTACTTTTAAAATATGTGAAAAAATTACTTACCAGTCAAAATATTAAAGTTTTTCTTTAAAATCGTAAAAAAAATAAAAAATTCAGAAAGCCGCCATTTTGGTTCATAGGAAATTAGTTACGTCACAAGTGACGTAATATTGTAGATACGCGATGTGTGCTGAACCTGCCAAAAGGCCGGAATAACCCCGGTTTCCCCTACATGTAATCCAAATATTCGTTCAACAATAGACCCAATTACATGTAATGACACAGACTCAACACATGAAAGTTTGAAATTTGATCTTGGTCTAGAAGTGTTCCTAAAATGAATAACATCATTTTTTTTCAACGTTTTTGGGCATACCATTTGCAATACACCTATTAGATAATAAATTCAGCATACATTGAAGGGTTTCTTCGTTTTCAGCTATCAATACAATGTCATCAGCACAAAGAAGAATTGCAATGATATCTTCATCAATGGCAATGCTTTTGTTACTACTTGTTAATAACAAAGCTACTTGAGTCATTAATATACATATTAAACAATATAGATGAGAGCGAAAATCCTCGTCGTATTGGGAAGCAATCAGTTTAGTTGTTAAACTGTTTATCCTAAAACAAGATGTGACTTTGCAGTTAATAGATTTTACAGCATTTAACATTTTAGTTGAAATTCCTATGTTTTCTAACCTTTTCCATAGCACGTTTCTATATGTGGACCGAATCAAATGCTTTTCGAAAAATCAATGAAAGCACAAAAATGCGGATACTTCACATCTCTTGTTTCTTGTGTGTTGTCAATGATATTAGTGAAACTTGACAGATGGTCAATAGTACTACGATTTCTTTGAAATCCACTTTGCTCTTCTATTAAGCAACCAACTGAACAATGCGGTCATTAAGAAAACTGGTATGGCTTTTTTCACGGCAAATTTGCCCATCCAAACAAGTTAGGGAAAGTTGTTGCTACTTGACTTTTAGCGAACTTCGGATTAAACGAATGTCCCATTGACTTCGTTTAAAGCGGAGTCGACTGTACATATATAACTTATTCATAGTACAAGTAAGGGAAATACCTCTATAAGACAAAGGTCGGCGCTTGTCCTTATTCCCAGATTTTGGTGAATTGGGAAATAATATTTTCCGACAAAGTTGAAGGTACTTTTCCTGTTTCAAAAGACACATTAAAAGACTATGCAGAATCAATGTAGCTGTGCCATTTTTCAACACATCCACAGGAATAAGATACAACACATCCACAGGAATAAGATACAACACATCCACAGGAATAAGATACAACACATCCACAGGAATAAGATACCTGTAGCTTTGTTTAACTAAGCTTTTTCAATAACTTAAACAATTTTATTTATACTTATGTAATTATCAAGCTGTTGGACATATACACGTACGTACGTACGTACGTACGTACGTACGTATGTATGTAACACCAAAGTCAGTGGGGCAAGTAACTGTCGCGGGTCAGCTCTACCAGGTAAGCAGTATCAAATGGATTTTAGGTCGTAGTGAATACTGACGCAACAAAAGATACGATCCTGTAATTATATAAACATGCAATTTATAACATATACAAAAGTCATTATTTAATTAAATACCCAATATTACATTAACTGACAAACATGATTCATTAGAATTAATAGATACACAAAAACATTAATACTTGTAATGATATAAATGAATAAATACAGAAAATTGTATGATATTTTATAGCACAAAATGGCTTTGTTATTGTTTTAAATAATGGCGAAGAAAGGGGAAATGAGTTATGATTGGTTATTGACACGTGCAAAATTTAATCAAATTCAGCGAAAAGAAGTAATAATTTCAATAACAACAACTGAATATGAGACCCTGAAAGAGTATTATTCAGAACTGATATAATTTGCTATTTGCATAATATGTGTGTATTTCAAAACGATATGATCTCGGAAAGTTTACTTGAAGTATAGGTTAAGTATCGGTTAATAAACATTTGCCAGTACTATGTAATAAATATATATACCCTATGACATAACCTGCAACAATTGTTATGAATATTACCATCAAGTCATATAAATGGTGAATAGTGATTCGGATATTTTTGACGGACCTTGTAAGTATATGTTAATTTAGTTTTACTCTTTACCTGAATATCTATTGCTTTCTAGATCGGAGAGTTTTCTAGCCATATTTTATTCTTTATTTGTCAAAAATATAGACGTTGTATTAGTTCATTTACCAACAACATATGCAACAATTGCTTGTGAACAGATAACATTATTATTAAGCCTTAGCCCGCTGGCACCAAACAATTCTCGCCATGCAACCATGGAGACCAAGATCAACCGGTACACCCTTGCTGTCTGACCAGGGTCTGTACTGTTCGATATTCAGTCATTACATATTCTAAACGTTTCCCGCAAATTTAAATGCTGAATGGTTATCTCCTGATTGAACGGATGACAGGTCCATTAAAGATGTAAGCATGGTAAGGCATGTTATTTTTTATAGAAATATAAGTATCAGAAGAACAACTTGAACAGCAACTATACAGTCACGGAATATTACATGAATGTCATTATTATTTTGATATGTTGTATTTCTCGATTTGATTGTGATATATTGTAATAAATCCGTAGTAATAACTCGAATGTAAGACATTAAAGATTCCTTGATCAAAAATCATATACACAATGTAATACGAATGTTTGTTTTAAAGTTGTTTAGTTCTCTTGAGTCGGTGTTAGGGGGCATAAAGGGTAGTTTGTAAATAACTATGATCCAAGAACAGACGCAATCAAACTGTGCCTGCAATATTTTCAATTTTGCCACTTTGAGCATTTTTTTAAGTTTTCCATTTTATCCATTTTATTTTGTATGAAATTAATATCGTACAGAGTAACATTGATAAGTTAGAAACATAATACGGACGTAGTTAGTCACAAATGTAGGTGAGACGATAGTAACATGATACAGGTCTTGATAAAAAAAAATATCAGAAATCCGCTAAAACAAGCCCGGATCCATCCAATTCACGCGCCATTTCGTCAATCCTCGCGGCTATTTCCGGTGTCAGTACCTCACGCCACACTCCAGGCTTCCCTTGATGAAAGAAAATGTAAAAATATCTTTATTATCGACGACTGTGTTATATATTTCCCGCACTAAATTTTAAGCATTTATTTCTGTTTAAAAAGATGTCGGATCTGATTTGATAATTGCTTTTTCAGACAATGGTTCGAATACATACGCAAAGAAGAATGACACACATGAGATGAAATGCTTCCATATATTTGAATTATATGTACACATTTAAGAGGGGAACATTTACATTCGCTAGCATTCACCACCTTCTGTCCAATCAATCGAGCCTGTAACCTTTACAATCTTACCGTTAAAGTTTACATTGTTTGTCGATCTTTTTTAATCTTGCACATATATTTACCTTTATTCATGAAACCACCTTCAGCATTGTCGTTGACATATTTAAAATCTCTCAGGTATGACATATTACACATGTTATTATTCTTCATAGTCTCAAACTTGCAATATTCACATATTTTCGCGACCTCTTCATCAGTCACCGGCTTGTGCAAAAAGTCAGAAATTTGTCTCACAGCATTTGCCATATTCTGAAGAAAGAAAAGTGTTTGGTTCCAATAAAGTTGTATTCCAGCGAAAACACTATTTAACAATTTTTGAACAAATGAGAACCTATTAAGTAGTAAATCAAAAGTGCAATAGATATGACAATAATTTATTTTAAGTTCGGTTTTGTTTTCAAAATGATTATAAAAAATGCTTTTTATTCTTACTAAAACACAGTGAGGTATATTATTAGTTAGTTAATAAGTAATGTTGGTAGGTTGACCAGTAAAAGGCATACCTTAACAACTTCTTCATACTTTAAGAAAAGAACATTTTTATCTTTCCTTTTCTCCCAGAACTCTAGAAGATGCTTTGGCCACGGGCAGGAAATACCTGTAACAGAAAAACTGACAATGTGAAAACATCTGTCGAACATCCAAATTCATAATTTATTTGATGGAGACATATTATTTGTTCATTTTCAATTCAATGTAAAATAAATTCTAATGAAGTTTGGTGTGATACCAGACTGACTGTCATTATATTGTATATGTATAATATATTTATGAGTTTTTATAGAATATGGAATATATAGATATCAGCTTTACGAAAGAAAATAATGAGCCGCGTCACGACAAAATCAACATAATAGGTTTGCGACCAGCATTGATCCAGACCAGCCTGCGCATCCGCGCAGTCTGATCAGTATCCATGCTGTTAGCTATCAGTTTCACTACTTGTTATAGGGTTTGTAAGCGATGAACAGACTGCGCGGATGCGCAGGCTGGTCTGGATCCATGCTGGTCGCAACCGCACTATGTTGGTTTTGTCGTGACGCGGCTCAAATACTGTTCTTTTACATATCTTGCAAATAACAATTTCCAAAAGATAACTAAATCGTGCGATCCAGTTTTTACAAACTTTTGTGAATATATTTGAATTTCAATTAGACATTTCTATAGAAATTCATACACTTATTGTATGAAATTGTTACTACTGTTTTAAAATCATGAATGTGTAATTTTAGTTTACCGGTCCCGTCAACAAAAGCATCAATAAATTGGTTGAACGTTTTGTCACCCTCTTCTAGTTGATCTCCCCATTGCATAAGCCGGTAGAATGATGTGACCAAATCCTTCGGGTTCCTCGCTATATAAATTATCTGAAAGAAATGAAACTAGTTCCATTGAAATAATCAAAAGTGGAAAAATATCTTAGTTAAATTGAATATGTTGCAGACTTTTAATGTTTGGTCACACGGCATATTTATTTTAACTCTAATATCTTCCCACGACAACAATATGATATGAAACTTGTTTGAAATTTAAAATAGTTATTACTCGCATGTGACCAATTCCACGAAAATCATATAAAAAAGAACATGTGTTCCCGAGAAAACCACAGGTAGAACTTGAAATAAATCTTCAAATCATGTTATTATACTGTCAACTTAGCTTTTGATTTAGATTTATATTTACTGGACGCATACAAGACTACTACTTTCCTGAAAATTACAGTTACACACAATATAATATGGATTAGTCTGAAAGATTTGATTATTGTTCTAGCACACAACATACTAAATACAAATCCACTATTTTCTTGACGACAAACCGGCTATTATGTATGAATCACTATGTAAAAAATAAGATAACTATGAATAAGATATTTATTATTATTATATAAGCTGGTAAACGTTATTTAAAAAAGTATCTGGATCATAAGTACGGAGATTCTTGTAATTTCCTCATCAATTTATTGCATAGTGAATGCTCAAAGAAAAAAAATGAAACACTATCTACTCACAATAGTTTTAAGTTCACTTCTCATCGCCTAATATTGTTAATAATATGTAAACAAGCAAAACAATATAAGCACATACTCTTCCTTTGCCTCGACGTAACTGTTCTGGTAGCATATGATAGTGAAGATGACATTTAATTAAACGAGGACAACTCATTTGTTCTATATACTTGATTCCTGTAACAATGACAAAAGAAAGAAAAATCTGGAAAAAGGGTGATCCCTCGGAAGCATTAATCACAACCAAATAACATTAACATTGTATATTAGGTTTAATTGAGTCTGCACATGAGGGAAAATGAAAAAAATGTAACATCCTTCATGCCCCCCTAGCACCGGCTTGAGAGGTATTCAATTTTCAACATTTGAAACACAACATAACAACACTGAAATACAACGTTGATCTAAATATGTCACTCATGATTAAACACTGAAATGTATTATTTAATTAATCCAATTTCATATAAGTATTATAATAACGTGTCTAGTCAAATGAATGATGATAATATCATTACATTTTGCTATTAGTGTAAAATTAGAGAGATGTGCAGCCAGATATATAAAAAAAACAATTTATACTGAAGTGTTGTTCCTATTGATGTTCTAAGTGCTAACAAATCACCTGTTGTTTTTTCCCCCTGAGATTTCAAAGAAAGAAGTCAGTCTTATATAAGTTTCAATTAACAAACCCTGCCAATTGAATCAGAGTGATATAAAAACAGTTCCATAGCTTATTCAACAATGGAGAACGACGCCAAAGGACGGCGGTTAATGACATTGCCAAGCTACCTATAAACAACAAGCTTGAAATTGTTCTGAAAATTATAAATAAGCAACAACTGTTTTTTGTTACCTTTGTAATATGGGCATCTGTCATCTTTTACATCAATGATTGGAAACACTTCATCGAGCTGCCTAGTAGTTGCTTTTTCGAAGTCTCTTGTTTCAATAAGAAGTACCAGCTCTTGCGTCAAAGTTGTTCCTGGAATTGAATTCAGATGATAAAATACTACGCTGATTTGCATTAATATACTTAATATTTTTTGTCTTCTACTTCCATTAAACATAAGATATTGCTTTTATATGAACAAGACGTTGTAAATTGAACATATATCAGGTGTATTTACAATCTATTTAACAGGTTGGGCATAATTAATTGCGATTGGGCGACATTTCAGCTTTAAATAAGTCATACCAAAATGACCTTGAGTCAATGTGAAGGGCAAACCTGTCACTGTCCGTTTAAAATGTTGTTGCATAATGTTTCTGGTAATTGAGGCTATATGATATCAACAAATGTATTTATGATACAAATGTTTTTTAGCCATATAACCCCGACACTATATATATACATTACTATCGAAATGTACTTTTAAGAAGCCGTTTAAAGTTTAACTATAGTTTGCATGTTTTAACCCTATAAAATTTTCACCTCGATACTATATATTCACACACACCTACCGAATTGTACACTTAAGAAGCTGTTTAAAGTTTAACTGTAATTTGCATGTTTTACCCTATAAAATTTTCACCCCGGCACTATATTTACATGTTTATACATACCCAGCGAAATGTACACTTAAGAAGCCTGTGATTTATTCATTACATCAAACCCAGATATCCGATGAATTTATATATCTTAAAAATGCAAAAAAGAGAAAACACTGAACATTGCTGACGATGAATGCAAGTGGAGTTTCAAAAAACCCACAAAAAGCACAATCCTTAAATGAAAAATGAAATAAATCAACGTGCATTTTAAGGGTAGAGAATGTACAAACCTGAGCGTGGAAAGCTGCATACCCATATATCATCATCACGTGTATCCATTTGTTCTATTTCTTCGACTTCATTCTCAAACATTGCCACGCCCTTATAAACCTTCCGTACTAACTGCAGTCTAGGTTTTTCTTCTGCCATGACGATTTTATTTTTTTATAAAATATGCAACATATGTTTTGTCTAAGGAGGCAGTACACAGTTTCGGTCGTTTAGTTTCGAATTTGCCAGGGTCAAATATACAAATAAGAGACAGTTTTGAAATTGAAGTGGATATTTGAGGTTCTAAATATTTATAGTTACTATATTTCAAGTTTCAGTGACTAGTATTGTGTTTCAGTTATTTAGTAATATTGAATTTAGTGGCGTTGACCCTTGCATTTGGAGAGAGTACCTGCCGGATGCGAATGTGTGGTTTTTGGAGCTAGCCGGTGAATCAGCTCTTCAATTTACAGGGTATGCAGAAGACTTAGAATTGTGAAAAAAGTAGGTGGATGGCACCCCGTTTAGATGTTATTTTCAGATTGTGCATTGTTTAAGAAGGAAGAAACACTATAGCTTGTGATTTAATCTTTTGACGTTAATTGCGAGGGGTAATCCGCTTATTTTGTCGTTGATTTTCGCGACCAAAACAATGAAAACCACAGGGCTATGTGCCAGAAAACTAGAAGGTGGACATGTATTTTTAATTGTTTGCTGTGATATACATATGTATATGTTAAATATGAAATGCATTTATTTCAGGTGTGTGATTACAGACTTGTGTGTAAGGTTTTGATTGTGGCGCAGTCACTTGTTTGCCGAGAAGCCTTGAAAACTGTGTATTGCCCCCTAATGCAGCACGTTCATACTAGCTAATCAGTTATTCACATCGTATTTTCACGGACTTGCAAACATATGCAGAAAATTACCTAGATGCAGACGGAGAGAAAATGATGTTAAAATTTTCATGAATGTATATCGTGACAATTTTTCAGCAGTGTTAAACAAAGGTTTGGTTGGACGAAATACATGTATATAATAAGTTTCTGGAAAGACGGAATAAAGATATGAGAAAGTTATGAAATTATGTGTTTTGCATTGAACTTCTTGTTTGTTAATGAGTTGAATATATCAATACTTTGTTTTGAAAAAAATGTATGTTAACATACTTTGCATTTTATTATGTAAAATCTATGAAAAATATGCCATAACAACAAAAAAGTGTTTGCTATTAATGATATTTCACTTTTAAGTTATTTTCTTGGTTATAGGTTACTTGGTTTGACAAAAATGATATAACTCTCGAGTTAAAGCGGCATGCCTACAGATTCATGCATTTTTTTCATGGAATTTTTAAAATATTTTAAGGAGTAAAATATTGTCGAGTGGACAAAGTTAAACAAATACAAATTGCAAACGGCACTTTAAATCTAGGAATAGAAGTTACCAATAATTGATCAGATAATACCAAAAATAGCCCTTATTGCGTTAGTCAAGCAGCAGAAATATGATGATATATACTGCAAAAATCAGTCATTAATTGCATATAACATGTAAATTATGTCTTAAATTGTGAATATTTTTACTTTTCTTAAAATCTTAGTTACAATAGATAAGACTGCCATAATTTTATAAAGTACCGGTATATCGTGTCATGACACCATTTATTTTAATATAAGGAAATGAAAAGTGATAGTACATGTACTTTTATTGTCTTGAAAAGGGGCAACACGGGGTTTTGACCATCTTTGACGCTTGTTGTCGTCCGTAGTATCTTGTTTCAGCTAGCGAGTATAATTTTATCTACTTGTTTTCGGTTAAAGTATTAAGTAGGGCATATTTAAAGTAGGATGTAATATTAAACTATATCAAGTTTTAAAGACAGTGTCTTAATTAAGGTTGATATGGTGAACAAATATCAGACCTTACTTAACCTTAATCTTTTATATGTTTCTGCATACAGTTTTAACCTCCATATTTCGTTAAAACATCAAAAGGAGAAGGTCATTATAAATGATTATAACAAATATTTTGTAATATTTTTTAAGGTTAAGGTCAGTTATGAAGAAAATTCAAGATCAACCTTAAGCGTACAGTCTGCTCAGATTTAAAATGTTAGTAGCTCATTTTTTTACTCTATCTATGTACATGTATTCTATTATTGAAATTCGGGTTGCGTTTTGACAAGTTTCAAAGTTTTCAAAGTTTTTATTCAACATTCCATTAGGCTAAAAAGCCCATGAGATATACAGTGTTTTAAATACATAGTTTAAATGTCATTACATTACCATCAATAAGTCCTTGTTAAATTAGATATAAAGGGTAAAGTAATCCAGTTCGTTACTTAATAAAACCGTTCGAACGAAAATGTAAAGATGAAAAATTATTAACATCTAACCCTTATTATACAAAATCATGTCATTTCATAAGCTTTTATTCAGATGGAAATTCAATCATTAAACATTTTTCTGTGGTCAGGAATCGATTTTTCTGATAAGTACTATACTGGCTTCTGTATATTTTGTAGATCATTCCGTCATCTTTTTAACAGGAAAGATTTCGGCTAACCTCGGGTGTTACAAACTTAAAGCAACACCAGGGATCAAAACCACCTCACTTGCTGGAGCTAAAAGATGTATTTATAGACTCCATTAATTCGAACCCATTTAGTCGCCTCTGCTGATCACATGCTGCAATTCTGATGCCTCAATCCATATAGGAAACACCTGAGCCACAGGGAGGGGGGGGGGTTATTGAACAGGTAATTATGTCATTAAGTGAAAACAGAGAAAAGAAACAAAGAGCATTGGCTAGTATAATTTGATAATTTCACTGTTTTGAATTTTAGCCCCTTACGTTGTTTCAGTGAAATACCAGCGTACACAGTACTGGGAACCAACTTAATGACGTGACGTTGTAAATGACGTCACGTTCTATTATTATTTGGCGCGTTTTTAATTCAGTATTAGGTTCACATATATAAAATAAGAACAGTAAACTGTTAAAATAAGTATTTTTTCAATGACGCGCCTATAGTGTAACGCTAACATTAGCGCGCTTTAACGCTATGTTTCTATATAGCGCAAATGACGTCACGTCAAAGTGTTATTACACTAGTGTAATATCGTTTTCATTAAATGGCTTTATTACACTCCTACGCCAGGGTTTATGTGATAAGTCTTTTTAAAACGTTTCTTTGCATATAATAAAAAGAAAATTTGTTTAGTTTAGTGTAAGATCGGAATTTATTTCACCTTGTGAACACCAAAAGTTCATATTTCACTCGTGGCTGCGCCACTCGTGAAATATACCTTTTGGTGCTCATTCGGTGAAATATATTCCGATCTTACACCGAACTAAACAAATATCCTCTATTTATTTTTATTTCTCAAAAGCTTTTTACTTTTGGTGTCGTATTATAGTTCCAAAAGGTAACTTATTGGGTAAATACCTGTATCAGTTTATTTTGCTTCTGGTGCTTTTTAGCAATTTCATAAAATTACATTTATAATAATTGATATTGTGTATGGAAGTCAGAAAACTACTGTTAATTTGTTTACAAATTTATTTATGTTACTTTTATGACAAACAAATTATGTTCATATTGTCATATGTCATCACTTCTTTTTTCCATGTGATAAGCATGTAACATGCTCTAAAACCAATTATTTAAACATTAAAAAACTATTGACTAGCCTTCCTTAAGGAAAAAAACTTATTTGTTTCTGAGACATGTTGTCATCTGCTGATGACGGTAGTGACACTAAATGAGCCGCGTCACGACAAAACTAACATAATGGGTTTGCGACCAGCATGGATCCAGACCAGTCTGATCAGGATCCATGCTGTTTGCTATCAGTTTCTTGACTTGTTATAGGGTCTGTATGCGAACAGCATGGATCCTGATCAGACTGCGCGGATCCATGCTGGTTGCAAACGCATTATGTTGGTTTTGTCATGGCGCGGCTCAAATGATTTTACTCCATGACAGCAAGATGACATAAGGCACAAAGAGATTGTTTAGCTTAAAGGAAAAAATAAGAATAATTTTGATATTAAACAGAAATTACGTGTGTTTAGCAGATGCTAGTAACATAAATTGCGTGTATTTTCAAGATATACTAGCTTTAATTTGTCATCATTATAAAATGCGTATTTTCATCTCATCGGCTTACCAGCTTTTCGATAATATTTGTTTGAGGCATATAACATCAAATTAATGATAATTATCTATTAAACATTATAATTAAGAAAAATTGCGACGTCATAATGGCGATAATAACGGTTCTATGTGTGGCGGGCTCCAAAAAGAATAACATCACGCTATAGATACAACTTTGTCTTGTAATGAGGCCAATAACCCCATTATCTAAAGTAAAATGACTTTTCATATCAAAGTATATCTAAAACCTTTTCATATTGGATTCCTTGTGCGATATCACATTTTAAATTACGAAGTTAAGGTTTGCTGACAATTTTGATTGAAATACAAGATAATATTAAATTTGAAGTCTGTAATACCTCAGTCGAAATTCCGAATATTAAATGTTCTGTTAATAGTGGAATTATTTCTGATTTGAAATAACCTATTTTTCCTTCGTTCGGTGGAATTATTTCTGATCTGAAATAACCTATTTTTCCTTCGTTCGTGTGGAATTATTTCTGATTTGAAATAACCTATTTTTCCTTCGTTCCTTGATATAACACACTTTAAAACCGCTCTGGTATCACTGATGTTTATTGCAATGCCATTCTAAGTTAGTTCTAGTAAAAATAACGTTTATTCCAGAACGTGTCAGTATAAATTAATAAAGGGCTACATAATTATACAAAATCTTAAGCTCCAAGCTCTAATGATTAGACTTATTATCTCTCGTAACACATTAGTTATCTACGTGATATGTCATCAACGTAATTATATCAAGTCGATGGCGTTTACAGCTGTCAGCATCTGTCCCTTCAAAGAATTACAAAGATATAAAAGCCCAAAGGTTTACGTTCACCTCGTCTACATCTCTGGTGACAACACATCTCGATTTCAGCATCAAAAGCAACAACAACAATGAACAACAAAATGATGTTTGTTTTTCTCCTCATTGGAATACTGGCTGTGTCGACTATTCAGGTGGCAGGTAAGTCCTTTTTCTAACGTTAACATGTCAAAATATAACTGACGTTACTCGTACGAGCATTTTTGTATATGAAATGAAATGTTTCTGTTAAAAATTGGAAGCATGCCTTTGAGATTTCTTAATTGTTAAAATACTATTATACCGATTGATATGTTACAAACTTGTTTAGCATGTAATATGATTTATCACATACCCTTGCCGCTTTTACGTATTCTTTAAACAAAATGACAATTAATACTCAACATCACTAATTCCGCGTCATCACTTATTTCACGGTAATGGCATATTTTCATGTGACTAGTGTTGAAATTGATTTTGTGCAAAATATTTTAAATGTCTAGATTTTTGTGTAAAGCAGAACAACATTTTACAAATTTCTGCAAATAGCAACAATAGTCCATTAAATTTGTGCGTATGTCTGAAACAATCATCATTTTCTAAATATACTTATTTGTTAAAAAAATAAATTTTGAGTTACAAAGTAAAAATAGTTTTAATATTTTAAATCAAGCAAAATAACATGTAGAAATAATAACTGAAACATGAAAAAACTGAAGTGTAACACCATTTACCGCGATTTAAATGAAGATATACTGTTTTCAAAATGGCCGACATATGGTCTACGTCTGGCCCATTAAAACTGATTTTTACTGAATATATTGTTGTTTTATTTTGTCATACAGCAGAACATACCGATATGTTACAGCTGATGACAATTTTTGTACCATAAGTTTCATTTGTTGTTTTCTTCCTAGTTTCAAATCGTTTAGTACCGTGAACTGATAGGAGCACAATATAGTGAAAGAAATGAAGGAATTTAAAACAGGAAGCTAGAGTAGAATTTCATACCGTACTAATATATTATAGAGCTACTTTAGACAACAATTATCATAGCTATATACCAATGGCCTACGTATTTATATTATCGTTAAACCGCCAATCAGCGATCATTTTTCTTTCTATGATATATATTTATCTATCCCTCAAATGGGAGTAACGATCATATTAGATCTGTATACATGTATATATACTTTTTCTTTTAAAGATAAGTCATTTTTTTCCGATATTCATTGGAAATTGTTTGATCAGCATATAGGTACAATTATAATTTTGATTAAAAATTGAAGACAATACAAAACCAAAACCCATATCTCTATATATAATTAAATCAAACGAAATCTCTATCTGATCGATAAGAAATTGAACATTTAAATGTATTAAATTACCACTTTATTATCATATAACCAATTAATTATCCTCTTAACACATAAGTCTAACCCATCTTTGATAAATCTCTGTTTTTAACGACATTTACCTTTATTTAATCATTCTCTGCCGGAAATACTGAAATAATGGCAATGAATTTATTTATTCAGTATGATAAGTATTGTAACATGTTCAATAAGTTGATCAATATTATGTTGTTTGCAGTCCAATGATATTATATTCCTATATTTTCAGATGCTGTGACATATAGCTGTTACAATGAGGGTGTCGGTTGCCCCATCCCTGGCGAGGGATCAGTTAGCAGTAGTCTCTGTAATGACGCCTGCTCCGGCGACTTTATGTGCTGCCAAGATGCCTAGGTAATATATCTTTAATACATGTATAAAATAAAGCACATAAAATCACTCATCGAGTAGTAATTTAAACAAAAGAGATAATACGTGTAGTAATTTAAACAAAATAGAGAATACCTGTAGTTATTTAAACAAAAGAGAGAATACGTATAGTCATTTAAACAAAATCGGAAATGCGTGTAGTATTTTAAACAAAAGAGTGAATACATGTAGTGTAAACAAAAGAGGGAATACGTGTAGTAATTCAAACAAAAGTGTAGTAATTTAAACAAAAGAGAGAATACGTGTAGTAAATGAAACAAAAGAGAGAATACGTGTAGTAATTTAAACAAAATAGAGTATACGTGTAATAATTTAAACAAAAGAGAGTATACGTGTAGTAATTTAAACAAAAGAGAGAATACATGTAGTAATTTAAACAAAAGAGAGAATACGTGTAGTAATTTAAACAAAAGAGACAGCAGTTGTAGTAATTTAAACAAAAGAGAGAATACGTGTAGTAATTTAAACAAAAGAGAGAATACGTGTAGTAATTTAAACAAAAGAGAGAGTACGTGTAGTAATTTAAACAAAAGAGAGAATACGTGTAGTAATTTAAACAAGAGACAGCAGTTGTAGTAATTTAAACAAAAGAGAGAATAGGCGTTTTTATTTAAACAAAAGAGAGAATACGTGTAGTAAATTAAATAAAATAGAAAATACGTGTAGTATTATAAACAAAAGAGAGAATACGTGTAGGAATTAAAACATATGCGAGAATGCGTAATAGTTCTAACTAATAATAGTATGCCTATTTAGTACATTTACATTATAGATATTGACGCTTTACTGTCGTATTGCTAACAAAATTCAAGAGAGTATATTATTGTTTTTCGTGTTCCCGTATATGTTTAGCGAACTTCAGATAATCATATTAAGAAATATTTTAAGATATAAAAATATAATTATGCTGCATTTGAAAAAAAAAACTTTATATAAATATACTAATTTATTTAAATGTACAATGATATTGTTCTTATAAAATGCAGTTTTGATGGAAATCTTATTTCTGTTTCAGGATTGTCAAATAATGAACCTCACAGCAGTAAATATTGAAAGTTGAAATAACTTATGTAATCAGAAGATGACATTGAATTCCTGAAATAAAAATAAAAATATACGCAAATTATTTATTCGTATTAAATATTTCATTCATTTCTTGGACGAGCCAATATGTTAATCTGGTGTCCAACGTATTATTACTTTTATTTTATACAATCTTCATGAAAATCGAAAATGAGTGGTTTTGTTTGTAAAAGTATGTGTACCCAAACATACAAATACATTTTAAACATCTCATACAAATTTCAAAATGTTACAAAGGCACAAGTGTATATAAAATTTTAATATATTTACATTTAATTAAAAAGTATGATTAAATATGCACTTTCATTATAATGAGTATGACTCACTATTATTGTCAGTTGGTATTGTTTTTTCTTTTTAGTTTTCATTAATATACATTATTTCAATCAACATTATCTTGTTAAAACAATAATGAACCCCTGAATGTGATACATCGACTAGTAAATAAGCCAACATTTGAGCCGTGTCATGACAGAACCAACATAATGGGTTTGCGACCAGCATGGATCCAGACAAGTCTGCGCATCCGCGCAGTCTGATTAGGATCCATGCTGTTCGCTTACAAACCCTATTACAAGTAGAGAATCTGATAGCGAACAGCATTGATCCTGATCAGACTGCGCGGAAGCGCAGGCTGGTCTGGATCCATGCTGGTCGCAAACCCACTATGTTGGTTTTGTCATGATACGGCTCAATTTTATGCTTAATCGTCACTAAACGTTAAACCGGAGCCGTCAATTTCATCTAGAAGTTTATCAAGTTTCTTTGCAATCTCTGGCGTCAACAATTGTTTCCATGTGCCTGCTTTGCCTGTAAAATATTGAAGTTATTGAAATTTGAGTAAATCGTCTAAACTCTTAGATTGACATTATCATAGAAGAAATTTATGTACAAAAGTAAAAAATATTACAAGGGTCTATTGACATTAGATGCATTATATCATTTGATGACCCTTGTGGCTGAGGCAAAAGAATTAAAACCTACGTTGAACTTGCAAGAGTTTAAATAACTAGAGTCTACGCATTTCCAGCAGGTGTGTCGGTTTTGATCCCTGGTGTTTCTTTGAAGTTTGTAACGCCCAAAATTTTCAAATATCATTTTCTGTTCCGGTGCATATCACCTATACTGATTTGGTGCAACGTAAAACAAAACAAACTAACAATAAGTCGTTGGTGTTTTGAAAACAATAGGTCAATGATAACAGGTGTACATGTGTGAATATTGAAAGGATTTTTTTATTTAATTACCTTGATTTATAAAACTACCGTCAGAGTTATCATATACTTTCTTATAATTTCTCCAATAAGACAAATTACACATCGGGTTGTTCTTCATGTTTTCTACAGAGCAATGATCACATATGTTTGCCACATCTTCATCTGTCAACTTTCTACCAAGAAAATCAGCAATCTGTCTTACAGCTCTGGGTTTATCCTATAATTCAAAAAGAAACTTTACAATAACTGATAGTAATAATCATAATAAACTATTTAAAAAATCTTGAACATTGACGAATCGCAACCGTTTGAGTAACGACTTTATAGAAAGTACGTTTACCAAGCCTCAAAGCAAATGCCCCTAAAATACCCAGTGAATGAGATTGCATCCGAAAGATTTCCTTTTCAGTTATCAGTGTCCAAGATTAGATGAAGGTGCAAACACCTACCTGAACAGTCTACGATTGTTTGGCAAAAATAAAAATAATAAATGACAAGTTGTGTCCATCCAGCAAATAGTATAGAGTGAATGCCCTCAACATTTGTTGATTCCAGGTCCTCCTCTGCTACCATCACTGTATTCCTAACAGGAGAAGGAAGCTATGTTAGAGTTTATGCGGCAGACTTCTTTACTCTGAGACATAAGATCACGCCGAACAGATAAAAACAGCTAAGAGCTCCGAGAAAGCGGCAATTTATTCAAAACTCCATTTTTTCACTATCCAAGAGCAACGACCCCATTGTTTCGTTTACTTGTGTCATCTTGTGTATAAAAATGTTGTTTTAAGACATTAAGGGTAAGTTAAGACAATATACGACGACGACGGCAAACATTCGACTACACCTCTATGCATTTTGTTCCCAATTGAAACCTGTGAAATTAAATTACATGTTGTTAGTATATATTCAAAAGACATTGCCCGTTTGTCTTCGGTTTTATATTTATTATTTATATTTTATATTTTAACTATAGAACGCTTAGGCCTGGGAACTTCAAACTTGATATGACTAGCAGACCCCCATCTATTGTGGGGTCAATGGGTCAAAGGTGAAATTGCAGGTATAAACGGTTTCTGATTAATAACTAGGAACTTCAAACTTGGTATGATGATTGTCCATGACCAGTCGATGACCCCTATTGATTTTGGGGCAAAGGGGTCAAATATCAAGGTCACATTGAAAGGTAAAAAGTTAATGGGAAAAACGGTTTCAGATCAATACTTAAGAATGCTTAGGCCTAGGAACTTCAAACTTGGTATCATGATGATTGTTCATGACCGGCAAAAGTTTCTATCAATAACTGGACAGTTCATTAACCCTTGACCTTCAAGCTTTACAGATTCATTGCTTTAGGCGGGAAGATGACCTCTGAAGATAACACATTGGCCCTTTACATTCAAACTTCACAGTTGCATTGGTCTTGGCCAGAAGTTAACTCCTATTGATTTAAGGGTCAAAGGTCAATGTCATATTGACCTTGTATGTAAAGGATTGACCAATAACTCAACAACTCAAGTTGCCTTGGTTGATACTTTTATAAAACTAAAAATCCTTTTGGTATACACATTTCAAGGTTTTATGTAATATAACATCTTGGCTGTCGTTAATGAGGCCTACATGATTCTTAAACCTAGTGACTAGTCATGACCAGTAGATAACCCGTATTGATTTTTTGGTCACTAGGTCGAAAATCAGTCATAATAACCTGATCAAATGACCAATTGGCTGCCGATTTGGGGCATACATGTTTTACAAACATATCTTGTTTATTCACTATTTTCTTTTTACTTAAAATGTCCCGCAAAGTAATAATATAATGCTATAAAATAATATTTTGGCCTCACATATATGAATCAAAATAATTACTTTGATTTCATTACTTTAATTATGATCTGAAATGTGATAATTTCGTAGAATTAATTTTTTTATCAGTAACAGAATTTGAACTGTTTTATTTTGCATGTTATTGATTATATAAAAATAAAAAGCTAATTACATGCACCACCTCCTCGTACTTCAGAAACAGAACATTTTTATCATTTCGTCTCTCCCAAAACTCTAAAACATGTCGAGGCCATGGACAATTGTGACCTGAATATATAAAACGATATTGTACAGGATGTTCATACAGAAAATAACATGAAATGATTATAATACTTATTGAATAAAACTAAAGATCAAGAGCAAGGGTGGTCGATCGGAAGCACTTACTAGAACAAACTAACATGAAAATTGCAGACTTGGTTTGATTTAGTCTGAGTGATAATGTAAAAATGTAACATTCCTCATGCCCCCTAGCACCGGCTTGAGCAGTATCCAATTTTCAACACTTAAAAGTGCCGGGACCAATGATTCCAAAAAATCAGAAAAACTAAACCTTGTAATTTTGCAATTTGATGGGAACCAAAGTTCGTTGTAACATATAACACTTTGTATTAAGCATACTCGCCATATCAAAAATTATTGACATGTCTTCACCCAGGATCATAGAGTTGTCTGGTGTACATGTAATTGGCATGCTTTGACACTTGTTATCAAATTGTCTTGCTTTAGACTGTCAAAATGCGGAATCAGAAGGCCTTGAGCATTTTTTTCTGTCACGTATAAGCCTTAGCAAGTGACATCAGCGCTATAAAGTTCATTTTCAATATTATGAAGTGAAATTTACCAGTTCCATTGACAAATGTGTCTACAAAGTTGTCAAATGTGTACCCGATGCGGTTAAAACCACCCATCCATTGTATCAGTCTAAAGAATGAAGTTGCAATATCTTTGGGATTTCTTGCAATGTAAATAATCTGCAATGTAAAAAAACAGCAAAATATAATTATTTATGTATTATATTAACACAGTAGTAAAATAATTCGTTTAATCCATTATTATAGAGAAAAACGTTAACCATAGAGAACGCGCAAAACGACAACATTGAAAATATTGCAGGTTCGGTTTGATTGACTATGTTCATGGACAATACTGGAAAGTGCAAGTTTCCGTCTAAGCCCACTAGCACCGGCTTAAGCAAATTTCAACATAAGAATGGTGATATTTGGAATTTAGAAACTTCAGATGTGCATACGAAAGTTTAATTCAGTCCAACAAACTTGATTACCTTGAAGCAAGAGAACGGGAAATCATTCCATAAACAGATATTATACGGTTGGCCTATCTGAATCACGCACTTGGGAAAGGTATGGGTTATTATTTTGTACAACTGTTTGTAGTAAACGAGAAAGATTGATACGCGAAAAGTGTAAATATGATCAAAGAGCAAGTTTCTTGTCTAATTTCTATAAACAATCATAAAACAAATTTTCATAAAAGGTTGTCTCTGAACACTTCAACAACAAAAATGTATTCCATACATATAACTGTCGAAAAAGCTTTATGATTATTGCCTTGCTTCAGTAATCTTTGTTCTCATTTATATGACTGCTTTTGATTATTATAAATAAGATGTTTATATATCAATTATCAATTTATTTGCTGAGTGAAATGACATGATGGCTTTATCATTTGCTAAATCAAGCAGGTTTTCATAAGCTTGAATATCAATATTTATGTGTGACTTTGATATGGTTTGCATTCTCACCAATACATGCAATAAGAACTTAAATATCCATAAAAATGTCCATGTGACCATTTGACATTACATACCCGGCCTTTTCCTTTCTGTAACTGAATAGGCAACAAGAAGTGGTGAAGATGTGATTTTATCATACGGGGTGACTTCATTTGGTCAATATATTTTACACCTAGAAACAGATATAGACATAATTATTATATTGTGCATTAAATGATGTCTTAAAGTTGAAGTTACCAAGTAACGTTATTTGATAATGTTCAATGTTGGATACAACAATGATTAAACTAATTTAATAAGTTTAGAAGTGTTAGAATGAAATAAATACATTATCATCACTTAAGCTATTGTGAGTAACGCTTACATATTAAATTATTGGTATACAAGGATATACATAAATTATATAATTAAATCATCATACAAAGTTGAGTAAAAACGGTGTTCAATTATATGACTTTGATATAGGTATTTACATGCTTGTATAAGTTTTTAATTCACATACAATGTATGTGTAGAAGCCTCCTCTAAAAGGAAAAAGAGAGAGAAAAAACACACACACACACACAAAAAAAAACACCACACACATGCTAATTTATTATATGTTTTTCATGGAATATTCATAGTTACGGATGTATATGGCTGTAGCACATGTAATGTTTTTCATAACACACGTTTTGAAGGTGTCTTTTGAATTTAATGTATTTTTTGACATTGCCATTATTGTTAAAGGTAGATTGTTTACTACAGTATTTGACTAAATTATGAATAGATTTATCTCAATTATTATTCAACACCAAAATCAATGTGCATTAATAAATTACAGATAAATATAATAACATCCTTAAAAAAGAAAAATGTATGTGATTTGTTCAATTTTATCCATCGGGTACCTCTATAAAACGGGAACCTGTCGTCATTTAATTCCAGGTATGGAAAACGGTCGTCAAGATAAACCGTGCGAGCCGTCTGAAAGTCCAAGGTTTGTACTAGATACGTCATCTCCTGAGTCATCGTTGTCCCTTTAAGATATAGAAAATAGATAAATGAATAAATAAATAAATAAATAAATAAATAAGATATGAAAAATATGACAAATTCCTAGTCGCGTCATCCTTTGTAATTCCTTCGTATTTCGTACTTTTTTCGTACTTCAGATCAGACATGGGTCTGGTTACTTGAAAAAGTTATCAATCAAATTAATGATTATCTTGCCTTTTTCAGTCCACGATTACTGTAAAATTTATAAGCTCTTTCTATTACTTCTAGTAAGTAACAGAAAATTATAACTAGGCATTATTTGTTCAAATGTTTAATTTTGTATGTCTAAGGTATACCTATTATCTGACATAAATACACAATATTATCATCAAGTAAGCATATATAAATCTTAATACATTGTTCAGCTATTATTTGCTTATAGTCGATAAAAATATGGCAAAAGTAATAAGAAAATGCATAACTTATGATAACTTCTGATAAATGAAAAATGTTAATCGTTTATAAATAAATTAAAATACTTTTATGAGGTTCAGATGACAAAATTGTACATTGTACATGGTTCCTAGTCATTCAAGTAATACAAACGCTTTTAAGACTTTTTAAAAAAGGTGGAAAAACCCAATTGGAAGAATGTACATCAAATTTTGAAAGCTTTGGATGAGATTCAGAAATTTCACCAAGTGTCATCATAGAAATATAAAAGTTTTACAGAATGTGCTAAATTACCTGTATGATAAAAAATAAACAATAAACAATGTGCATTAATCTTCTTTCTGCGGGTTGAAAATGTATAAACCTGTTTAAATAAAAATAAATAAACGACTTATTTTACGGGACATTTCGTTTTACATATTTCAGTATCATATAGTCATACATTCACAATATTCAACAAAAAAGGATTTATTTAAACTGACTCAAAGAAACGGGCTGATAATGCCTCAATGAAAAAAGTATTTATTATTATTATTTCATTTCTAATGTTATATGTTTCGAAATTTTATGTGAAGAAGCGACCCAGATATCTTGCAGAACGTCGGCGCTGTGCTTTTAATAAAGCATAGAGGGGCACCCAAGACCTTCCTCAATCAGTTAAGCCGGAAGTCGCCATGTTAGTGCTACTGTGTTAGTGCGACATTAAACCAACTAAAAAGAAATAAAACAAAGATTTAATATTACCTGATCTGGAGAAACTACACACCCAAATATCGTCTTCCCTCGTGTCCATTCGTTCAATATCGTCAATCTCACATTTAAACATTGCAACCCCTCTATGTACCATTCGCTCAAAATGAAAAGCTGGCTTTTCGTCGGTATTATCTTTTCGTTCAATCAATTCGTCTGTTTTAACTTCTTTACATTCAGACATCCTTTAAAATATTTAAAAATTTAAGACGTTTATGGTTAATATCGTGAAATACCACAACCCTTAAAAATCAAGATTATAATGAATAATAAATTAATTGTAAATGCTTATAATTATAATTATGATTCAATGAATGTAATAATAATTCAATGAATATAAATGAGCCGCGTCACGACAAAACCAACATAATGGGTTTGCGACCAGCATGGATCCAGACCAGCCTGCGCATCCGCACAGTCTGATCAGGACACATGCTGTTCGCTATCAGTTTCTCTACTTGTTCTACTTGTTGGTTTTGTCGTGACACGGCTCATATAGATAATAGATAATTGATTGTGCAAAAATGGTAACTATCAAAAATTACAAATACATTGATGCACAATGTTCACCTTACATAATGAGTATAAATGTTTAAACTTACGCGAGCTTTTAAGTCTCCTTATTCGTAAATGTACTAAAAAATAAACATTTACTTTCAACCTTGAATATTCTTTTTATCAAACACAATCGTCTGAATTCCTCAGTCACCACCTTAAGGTACGAAATTTTGATAAAACACAGTCATGAATAAATATATAGGTTATGTATCATAAGGTCAATGCTCACCTCACATCCCAATAATATTTAGGAAAATGGAAGGTAAAATGGAAGGTGGAAGAGTGTTCGTTTGATATAGTTGAGCGTAAAGATGGTATATAAGTTGGATGTCAAGCTTTATGTAATTGGGAAGGTAAAATGAGATTTCATGTATTGAATGTATGCACAGGATACACATGAGAACATGGAAATGTTACTAAGCTTTGATGAAATGAGCTCCGTCACGACAAAACCAATATAATGGGTTTGCGACCAGCATGGATCCAGACCAGCCTGCGCATCCGCGCAGTCTGATCAGGATCCATGCTGTTCGCTTACAAACCCTAAAATGCGCCCAACTACCCCTATTACAGATATAATACACGGTGAACAAGTAGAGAAACTGATAGCGAACAGCAAGGATCCTGCGCTGGTCTTGATCCATGCTGGTCGCACACCCATTACGTTGGTTTTGTCATGACACGGCTCAAATAGATTGGACAATCCCTGAACCTACTTAACCTGGTCTTGGCCCCATTATGAATCAAAACCAGTGATCCCTTTGGTTGAGAGGCAGACACCTAACCAATGGGCTCCACTGCGGTTTAGTAACACATGATTGATGAACTACGTAAAGTAAATCAGATGAAAAAATATTTTTATTTTTACCGTTTTTATTCTTTTCTAATGATTAAAAAAGTATATTCGGCATTTCTGTTGCAAAATTCTAACGATTTCATTTTTTGGGCTTACGGGTTCATAGTTTGTTTTCATGATTTTTTTGAAGTTTAGTTTGTTGACATTTTATTACATGTAAGTTATATTAACTAGGTGATTAAAGCCAATCTTTCCCTTCCAAACTTCATATAGATTAACAAGTGTTTAAGTAAAATATATAGAGGATATCTGTTAAGTTTAGTGTAAGATCGAAATATATTTCACCGAGTGAGCACCAAAAGGTATATTTCACGAGTGGCGCAGCCACGAGTGAAATATGAACTTTTGGTGTTCACAAGGTGAAATATATTTCGATCTTACACTAAACTAAACAAATCTTCTTTTTATTATATGCAGAGAAACGTTTTAAAAAGACATTAAACCTAATACTGAATGAAAAGCGCGCCAAATAATAATACAACGTGACGTCATTTACGACGTCACGTCATTAAGTTGGTACCCAGTACTGTGCACGCTGGTATTTCACTGAAACAACGTAAGGGGCTTAAATTCAAAACAGTGAAATTATCAAAGTGGTAATTTCACTGTTTCAAACAGTGAAATTACCAGTTTTAAATCACTGATATATTTCTATAAACCACCGAAAAGCATGTAATAAAGTAATTCAAATAATGTTCTCGTTTTAATATCCCTTCCAATGTTCTAAATATTCATGCACCAGAAGGTAAGAAACCGCTTTGTGCATGAACATTAACATAACATTAACTTGCTGTATGACTTATTACAATTCATACATAGTTTAAAGATTAGTAGATAAATGTTAATTTGAGATGAGTTTATTAGATAATAAGAATTTCACGGTTGATAATTTAACTTAAGATAGAAAACATTAAAGATTTTAGGAAGTCTGCGAATTGGGAAATTAAAACTATCGCGTGAGTTTAAACTTTAATAATTGTGCTGTGATGGCACTATTTGGTATACTAATTTATAACTTATTTTTACGCATGAATCTTTTGTTACAATCAGTTTTGTTGATACATTTAAATAAAAATGTTAATTTGTTTTAAACATGTTGTAAAAGAAACATATGTCTATTGTTTCGTTGTCAAGTTGAGGGGATGAAATAGATATATACTTCAAGGGAATGACTTTTTTATGGTGATTGACTAATAATTGTCAATTAGATTTAAAACATAAAAACTACGTCACCATAATTATAAAAAGACAGTTCCACTTTTTTGTAACCAACACATTTTTAATGATATTCATAGAAATGTATGTGTGCCACATCGGTTATTGAATATTCATTACAACCCCTCGAACCAATCAGATAGCCTCGTGTTTCGATGCCATTTCTATTACTTGTATCATAGTTTGGAAATCTTACTATTGAAAACGTGTCAAAGTTAAATCTTAACCATATGAATATAGATGATAGCCTGTATCAATAAATGCATATGTAGGTTTCTCTTTCGTTCATATCCCATTGATCTTGTCATGAATTTTTCTTAGTTTATCATGAACATTCAAAGCTTTTATAATTTTATAAAGAAAGGATGGCTGAATGTAAACCGTGGGTGATAGAATAGATGAATCAGCTGAACGTAAAGACGATGCCAAAGAAAACCCAGATTTTCAGTTTGAGCGTATGGTACACTAAGGAGTAGCAATGTTTAAATGTGAGATTGACGATATTGAACGAATGGAGACGAGGGAAGACGATATTTGGGTGTGGAGTTTCTCCAGATCAGATAATATTAATAATAAAGTGGTTAGTCGAATAAATGCTTCAGCGCTGAGTATATGTATGCTCATTATTTGTCATTGTGTCCACAGCCATATACAGCTATAACCGAAATTTCAAAACATACACGTATTTGTCCTTGTGAAGAATATTTTAATGCATAATATATATTAATAACCGGACATACATTTACGACTGCATACCTAAAATTACGCTTATAGATTTGAAACTAATTTCTGCATAATTTGCATGATAATACATTTAAGTTTTAAGTTGTTACCATAAATGATTGTATACATAGATGTGATACTAACGATATATAAGCACCTAGGTAATGATATGTTAATTTTAAAACTTCAACGCTAACACCGTAAAACGTATTATATCAAATTTATCTTTTTTGTCTAGCATGGAAGGTGTCAAATCATTTGTTACTAGGTAGCATCATCTAATAAATGCTTTCACTTAAATATTAAAACGAGGACATATTTTTCTAGGTGTAAATACGCTGATCAAATGAAGTCACTCCGTATGATAAAATCACATCTTCACCACTTTTTGTTGCCTATTCAGCTACAGGAAGGAAAATGCCGGGTAAGTAATTTCTAAAGATCACGTAAGAAATATTACAAATATTCAAGGTAGAATAAAATGCAAAACCGCACTAGCATCTGCTTAAAAAACGATATAGCTAACCTGGCAGACCACTGCAGAAAAGATTTGATATTTGAACATATTCAGTAGAGACCTTTTAAATAAAAATCAAATACTGTTTAAATTAAGACAACTCTTTTGATGTAACACATACATCTCTGTGGTGTGTACAATAAAGGCATTGGTGACAATAAGTCCTGTTTATGTTTGCAGGATGTGCACGAGGACTTGTTCTGATACATTTTATACGTAGCGCTTCGAATTAATATAGCATGACCTACATGACCCAGAAACGTACACAAACGTGATATTGTTGTATCAAACGGATAAGATTTTGTTATTTAAACATATGCAGAACAAGCACATTGTTGGCTATTCTGTTGCGTAACGGTTTGTTAAGGCTTGTGAAACATTGAACTGCCATGTAATTGGAATGAAAACGTGGTCTTTTATCACTGTTTGAACATATTATGTGAATTGTTATATTTTACAGATTATTTACATTGCTCGAAATCCAAAAGATATTGCAACTTCATTCTTTAGACTGATGAAATGGTTGGGTGGTCTTAAAGATGACGAAAACATATTTTAGAACTTTGTAGACGCATTTGTCAACGGAACTGGTACGATAATGAACTTTTTAGCGCATGTGCTAATATCAACTGAGAAGAGCTATACCTTACTGTAGAGGAGAGCACATGAACTGTGACTGACGTTTTTGCTAGAGTCTACTTGATTCTTTATTAATTTTAGATTTTAGAAATAAAACATAACATTTTCATAACAAGTCATAATTTTGCCACTTTATAAGCATGAAAACGTCGTATTTCCATTCAATAACAATTTCCAAAGCATGGCAATTTCATACCAACTTTTAAGCATGACACTCCAGTTACAAGTTTCAAAGGTTGCCAATTTCTGCATAGAGCAATCACTAATGACATTGCAATATTTATGTTTCAATTGAATAAATATATATTTCATCAGGTGACAATTGTGCATGGCCTCGACATGTCTTAGAATATTGGGAGAGACGAAATGATAAAAATGTTCTGTTTTTGAAGTACGAGGAGGTGGTGCGGGTAATTGGCCTTTTATTGTTAACATGATGAGTAAATATTAGACAGTTCTGTTCTGGTGCAAATTAATTCTTTAAACTAACTACAGCTTGATGATTTTTTATCAAATAAAACAATCATGAAATCAAAGTAACTATTACAAATTCTATTTAAAATCTTTATATGTTCGGTATTAAAACGTAATACCTTTGTATCACATGTTATCATTACTTTACGGCATATTTTATATTGAGTGTTTATGATGTGTTTATCATGAAATAAACCGTGTTTGAATTGTATTAAT